TCCAACCGAAGTCGAATAGCTATTAATTCTGTTTCAAGTGTATTTATCCTTTAGGAACAGTGTCAAAAACAAATCCCCCTTCACATGTCCCAACCAATCTTTGGACAGCCTTTCAATGTAACCAATTCTTTTTGCCTTTTCATTTACTCTTTTTGAGCCATTCTGATATTTCACGCCATTTTTTTCTTTATATCTTCCAATTGATCTATTTTCACATCCTTTGCTTGGTCCAAGATGCATCAACGTTGCATTTCAAACATCCCTCTTTGGGTGGTGCCTCCATAACACTTGTGGTGGTACATTCAAGGATTGATGTGTCTTTTTGCCAGAAGAAAATCCTTTTCCTCGGTGACAGTACACTAATCATACATCTCGCCATCACATCACATAATTCAACTCTTTCAGCACATGAGATGCTGTTCATCCACTTACACCAGCAATCAGTTAATACAAGCTTTTTTTCACGTTCAATTATCACCCTACTGTCCTCAGTCACCGTCGGTCTAAGTTTCAAAAGTTAGGGAGCATACTTCATCAAGAGTCTATCTTGCCCTCCTTTGTCTGTAGAATGCAAATACAAATTAAACAAATGATCTAACAAACACAAATTAAACAAATGAGATCAGATCAGGTATCTTTTGGCTAAGAAATTTAAGTGACATAAGGTGTTTAGATAAGATACTGTTCAATGCTAATTATTGTTGTCTGGTCACAAAACTTTAATTTCTTGATTTAAGTAATGGATGTGTCACCAATTCAATTGAAACTCAATAATTTAAGAATGATTTAATCTAACAACAAGTTTAACAATAGAAACAAAAACATTTTGAAGCACATTACCACGAACTCATACCATTGAATTGGGTCTTACTTAACACTTGAATAATTAAACAATTGAAATACTTAACACTTGAACAATTAATGGTATAGTAAAAACAAATAAAAAAGCATGACAATGGCAACAGTAAAATAAAAAAAGAAAAAGTTCAAGAAAAAAAGTAAAATCCAAAATAAGTATTCCGTGTCAATCAGTAAATCCATTGATAGCAAATGAATGAACCCCAAAGTCTTGGGTGAAAAACAAGGACTAATAGTTCATAGAATATGAGAACTAGGAAATTTATAAATTTTACATACCAAAATGCATATCAAAATTACACATTAATTATTCGAGTTCATCTCAGAATTCACCAAAGTTAGTATAATCGTACCAAAGGTTTACATTTGTCTGTTAACACGAATTTGTTCCTGATTGCCCTGGTGGCTGGTTCTGAGTCGTCCTTCACCAAAGTTGTTACAGAACACAAATCATATCTCAACCATTATTTAGCTTGTACTCTTTTTCGAAGTACATAAAATGCCATGACCTCAGATAGTTTTTGACTAGTTACCCCACTACTTACCTATTTCTCATTCTCTTTTTTTAACTAGTCAAAAGCTATCTAAGATCATGGCAATTTCTGTACTTAAAAAACGAGTACAAACTAACAATGGCTGACATATGCTTTGTGTTCTGCAACAACTTTTGCTCTAAAGTTATCCCATTCTATAATTAATCTTGTATATTCCTTTTTTTTCATCAAAATCTAATTCCAAGAATTGTGGCTAGAATTGTTCCAACCGAAGTCGAATAGCTATTAATTCTGTTTGAAGTGTATTTGTCATTTTAGGAACCGTGTCAAAAAACAAATCTCCCGTCACATGTCCCAACCAATCTCTAAACAACCTTTCAACGTAACCAATTCTCTTGCCTTTTCATTTACACTTTCTGAGCCATTCTGATATTCCACGCCATTTTCTTTCTTTATATCTTCCAATTGATCTTTTTTTCACATCCTTTGCCTGGTCCAAGGATGCATCAACGTTGCATTTCAAACATCCCTCTTCGGGTGGTACCACCATAACACTTGTGGGGCTACATTCAAGGGATTAATGTGTCTCTTTGCCGGAAGAAAATCCTTTTATTCTGGTGGCAGTACACTGATCATACATCTCGCCATCACATCACATAATTCAACTCTTTCAGCACATGAGATGCTGTTCATCCACTTACACCAGCCATCAGTTATTACATGCCTTTTCTCACGTTTAATTATCACCCTATTGTCCTCAGTCACCGTCGGTCTAAGTTTTAAAAGTTAGAGAGCATACTTCATCAAGAGTCTATCTTGCTCCTCCTTTGTCTGTAGAATGCAAATACAAATTAAACAAATGATCTAACAAACACAAATTAAACAAATGAGATCAGATCAGGTATCTTTTGGCTAAGAAATTTAAGTGACATAAGGTGTTTAGATAAGATACTGTTCAATGCTAATTATTGTTGTCTGGTCACAAAACTTTAATTCTTGATTTAAGTAATGGATGTGTCACCAATTCAATTGAAACTCAATAATTTAAGAATGATTTAATCTAACAACAAGTTTAACAATAGAAACAAAAACATTTTGAAGCACATTACCATGAACTCATACCAGTGAATTGGGTCTTACATAACACTTGAATAATTAAACAATTGAAATACTTAACACTTGAACAATTAATGGTGCAGTAAAAACAAATAAAAAAGCATGATAGTGGCAACAGTAAAATAAAAAAAGAAAAAGTTCAAGAAGAAAAGCAAAATCCAAAAATAAGTATTCCGTATCAATCCGTAAATCCATTGATAGCAAATAAATGAACCCAAAGTCTTGGGTGAAGAACAAGGACTAATAGTTCATAAAATATTAGAACAAGGAAATTTATAAATTTTAAATACTAAAATGCATATCAAAATTACACATTAATTAATCGAGTCCATCCCAGAATTCACCAAAGTTAGTATAACAGTACAAAGGTTTAAATTTGTCGGTTAAACAAGAATTTGTTCCTGATTGCCCTGGTGGCTGGTTCTGAGTCGTCCTTCACCAAAGTTGTTGCAGAACACAAATCATATCTCAACCATTATTTAGCTTGTACTCTTTTTCGAAGTACATAAAATGCCATGACCTCAGATAGTTTTTTACTAGTTACCTCCACTACTTACCTATTTCTCATTCTATTTTTTAACTAGTCAAAAGCTATCTAAGATCATGGCAATTTCTGTACTTAAAAAAGAGTACAAACGAAACAATGGCTGAGATATGATTTGTGTTCTGCAACAACTTTGGTGAAGGACGACTCAGAACCAGCCACCAGGGCAATCAGGAACAAATTCGTGTTTAACAGACAAATTTAAACCTTTGGTACGGTTATACTAACTTTGGTGAATTCTGGGACGAACTCGATTAATTAATGTGTAATTTTGATATGCATTTTGGTATGTAAAAATTTATAAATTTCCTAGTTCTCATATTCTATGAACTATTAGTCCTTGTTCTTCACCAAGACTTTGGGGTTCATTCATTTGCTATCAATGGATTTACTGATTGACACGGAATACTTATTTTTGGATTTTGCTTTTCTTCTTGAACTTTTTCTTTTTTTATTTTATTGTTGCAACTGTCATGCTTTTTTATTTGTTTTTACTGTGCCATTAATTGTTCAAGTGTTAAGTATTTCAATTGTTTAATTAATCAAGTGTTAAGTAAGACCCAATTCACTTGTATGAGTTCATGGTAATGTGCTTCAAAATGTTTTTGTTTCTATTGTTAAACTTGTTGTTAGATTAAATCATTCTTAAATTATTGAGTTTCAATTGAATTGGTGACACATCCATTAATTAAATCAAGAAATTAAAGTTTGATGACCAGACAACAATAATTAGTATTGAACAGTATGTCATCTAAACACCTTATGTTACTTAAATTTCTTAGCTAAAAGATTCCTGATCTGATCTCATTTGTTTAATTTGTGTTTGTTAGATCATTTGTTTAATTTGTATTTGCATTCTACAGACAAACGAGGAGCAAGATAGACTCTTGATGAAGTATGCTCCCTAACTTTTGAAACTTAGATCGACGGTGATTGAGGACATAAGATGATAATTGAACGTGAGAAAAAGACTTGTATTAACTGATGGCTGGTATAAGTGGATGAACAGCATCTCATGTGCTGAAAGAGTTGAATTATGTGATGTGATGGCGAGGTGTATGATCTGTGTACTGTCACCATAACAAAAGGATTTTCTTCCGGCAAAGAGACACATCAATCCCTTGAATGTACCACCACAAGTGTTATGGTGGCACCACCCCGAAGAGGGATGTTTGAAATGCAACGTTGATGCATCTTTGGACCAAGGAAAGGATGTGAAAAAAATCAATTAGAAGATATAAAGAAAGAAAATGGCGTGGAATATCAGAATGGCTCAAAAAGAGTAAATAAAAAGGTAAAAAGAATTGTTACGTTGGAAGGTTGTTCAGAGATTGATTGGGACATATGAAGGGAATTTGTTTTTGACATGGTTCCTAACATGACAAATACACTTCAAACAGAATTAATAGCTATTCGACTTCGGTTGGAGCAATTGTTGCAACAATTCTTGAAATTAGATTTTGATGGAAAAAAAAAAGAATATACAACATTAATTATAGAATGTGATATTTTTAGAGCAAACAACAAACCTTGGTTCAACCCCAGCAGCTGGAGGAAATGCTCGATTTTGATTTTATTCTTTTAGTAGGCACTCTTACTTCATGACTTTCACTCGAGGCAAGACTGCAGGAAACCAGAAGGTTTGAGAAGGTTCTTGCGCTTGTTGGCCACAAAGATATAATTTACCAACTAACCACTTGTTTCCAGTAGAACTTAGAACTCCAATATCTGGGATTTCAGCAAGAAGAAATCTGTCAGCAAATTCAGCCAATGTAGAAGTGTCAGGCAGAAGAGATGAAGGGTGTAGCACACCCAAATGAATTACTTGACAATTCCAATAAGGTCAGGAGAGATACGTTCCCAATACTTGATGGAATACCTCCTAGAATATTGTTAGCTCTCAAGTATAGGGCTCTGAGATCAGAATGATTGGTAATGGCATTGGGATAATACATGCATTGGTGAAAATGCCAGTCTTTGCAATCTTACTTAATTTACCAATACTGATAGATATAATCCCTCTAAGTTGCATATAGGATAAGTTTATAGACATGGCACTTTGGTGGATGACAAGAAATGCCAGTCCATCTAAATGGAGTATCATCAGAAGAATTCCATTTAAACTATTATTTGGCCATGACTGCAAGTTCTCTGTTCACGCCATTTCAGAAAAGAAAACGAATCAAAAGCAAGTGAGAGTTTTGAAATCTTTTGATCAATAAAATTGAAACAGAAGATCCAGCGATAAATATTGAAAATAGTAATCGGAAAAAGCTTGTAGGTCATCATTTTCTGAGCTGAGTTAAATGAATTTAGCGTTTCAAGAACTTATTTTCTTTATATTGGGTGGTGCAGTAGTTAAAGACGAGGAAGAAGAATGGTGAAGATGATGAGTCCGAAAAGAAGGCACAAAAAATGCAAACATCACACCATACAGATTGCCCAGAAACCTAAATGATGCTCAAAAACACTATCATACTCCACCTCACTTTCCTCTCCTTCCCATTTCCTCAATCTTTTGCTTACTCCCGCTCAGACTCTGTAGTTTAACTCCGCTCCTAAAGGTAATACTACTTGGAAGAAGAAGTATTTCACTTATTCTTTCTTTTGTTGATTACTTTATTTATTTATTTTTTCTTACAAAGGAAGATACAGTACTGTTTTTTGCATTTTATATCAGTTATTTCTCGTTGTTTGACATCGTAGAAGTAGAACTCTCAACTTTGGAATTCAGACTGGTTTTGAATTCCAACAGTGCAATGCCATCTGAGTGAGAGGCAAAGAGAATTGTTTTCCAGAATCAAGACAACCCTTTTCATTTTTCAATCTAAAATGTGGGTTTTTCTTTCTTTTTTTTTTCCCTGCTATTACTGCAGATTTGAAGAGAAAACAAGAGGCAAACGCAAAATATCACATTAGAAGCAGATACAAGCGAATTCATGCTTCTACAATAACAGCAGAGGCATAAGTGCTAGCCTGCATCTTGCACATAAATATTCTTAAAAGTTGAAGTAGTTGTCTCTTGAACATCATATGTTGCTAAACAAGAAAAGTCAGCTCAAAAATTATATAGCCATTTTGTTACAAAGATCATAGCATGTCTCAACGTAAAAACAACAATGTGCAGGTTAAACAAAATGCTCTCAACGTAAAAAATGAAGTCCATGATTGTCGAGTTGATATAGCTCTTAGATTTACTGCTAACTTCCAAGTGATAGAAAAGACGGATGCTTATTTTAGATGCAACTGAGATAATGAAGTGAAAGTAATACTCTGCCAGGCTGAGAAGAACATAAAATTAATTGATCTACAGAAAAGGTAGCATATTTGGTATGATTACCTTGTTTTGATGGTGCAGTCAGCGTATTCATAGAGGCAAACATTGCCACGAATGCCTCCATCCACGAGATTCTGAATGACGTCTACAAGAAAGCAAATCTGCTTCAAAAGCTTCTGCTTTTATGCCTGCTCCATATTCATCGAGATATCTGATCGACAAATCTCCATTTGTAGTAGAACCTGCAATTCATAGTGTGAGTAAAGGAAATGACGTGCATAATGAGAGCTAGAGTTTATGATGCCAAAGAACTTATAACAAAAGCACAAATTCGTAGCAAATATTCCTTCAGTGAAGTGTTGAAAAGGATACTTTCCAACTGTTCAATCTAAGGCAGAGTTTGGATCACAAGAATTGGAGGATGGATGACTGCAGTTTCTCATATCATTCATTTGCTTGGGGTCCGTTAAAAATAAGTCAATCAGTTTCGTACCAAGTGATTGACAAGAACCATCTAATCATGTTGAATTTTGATCTTCCATGTTTTCATATGTTTCGCAGCTTTTAAGCAACTAATGAATGTATAACTTAACAAGCCTTTATCCAAAGTCTGTAAGTGCATTTCTGATTCAAGTCCTCGCTGGATTCTTTTTTTGAAGACTAGAGAAGAAGGCTCCCGAGGTCTCTGGATATGAAGCCATCATAGCTTCCTCCTACTTTCCAGATTGTTCAGAAGAAAAGCCAATCGATGGGGTTGGTCCCTCTCCAAACTCGGATGCTTGGAAAGGTTTCAGGTAGTTTCGGTTGTGTTCCCAATCTGCTTCAACCAGCATTTCTAGAGCTGAAACTTCTTCCATTTATCAGACTTTCTGGCTGAGTAAATTGCTGCCAAGTCAAAATCATAACATTCAGAGGCTGCCTTGCAAAAAGAGCTCCAAGTGAGGTGCTTTCTGTGTGTTTTCTTCTTTCCAGCTCCTAAAGGATCACAATCCCCAGAAGTTGAAGTCTTAATTTGAGAACCAATCATCCCATTTGAACTGTTTAGATCATCAGCATGAGAATTGTGAACCTCATACTCTGCCCTACCCAAATTTGATACACCTTGGTGCTGATCCCCATGAAAATCACTACCCACTATTAAGAGGAAAGCTGAATGTGCAGTGAAAGGCTCAAGAAAATCGACGAATTGCATCTGCATTTTTATTTGAATTCATTTTCTGATTCTTAAATTCTCTTGAAAACTCTTTCTTGCATCAGAATGCAGTCGAAAAATACCCTTCAACCTTCTCTTCCTCATTGTAACCACCTGAAATGCTCGAATTCACCTACCTAAAGGATTTCACAAGAGGAAAAAGCCGATGAGAAAGTGGGCGAAAACAATAGTGCACCAGATGCTTAGTCAACAGTTTTTTAACGACTAATACAGTTAAAACAAGCCACACTTGCAACTGACATGCTTACCATCATCTAAACATCATGAAAGAATTCACCATATCATCTTGGGCAAAATTCATCAAATCATCGTATATTTAATTTAATTTAATTCTATGTAAGTTGGTTGATTCTGTTCTGTTCTTCAGCAATCCGCCATCTTTCCTTGATTCATCATCGAACTACAGATCATATGTTGGACTTCACTGAAACAGGATAAGAAAACTGAACACATGTTTCGCTCAATCCCCAAAAACCGGCACCACAGAGCACAGGAACCTGTACCAAAAAGATGCAAAGCAGGCTAACTTGCTAGCCGAGTCAACGATAAGAGCTGCAGAATACCAGATGATGAGAATATTCAGATTAAGAGACCAGAAGAAGATAAAAGAGATAAAGTAATTCAGGGTCCATCGAATTAGTAGAGATTGAGAAAGGCCAGTATTCTGGGCACGTATGCAGTGAAGATCTCGATTTGGCTTTGGTAAGGGCACAGCCAAGGAAGGAGATATGATGAAATGAGAGGAAAGTGGAAGGGAGGCTTGCTCCTGGGTTAAGAGGACAAACCATGCATTAGGGTTCATAAAGGAAAAACCCTAGGTGTTTTACCGTATTACCACCGGAAAGTTCAGTGTTATATCTTCAGCTTAAATTACACCAACTGCAATTTTTTCTATTTACAGCAAGGGTAAATTTCATTTTGTCCCTTGAACTATACCCAAAATTTCATTTTAGTCCCTAAACTTCAAAATGAGACATTTAAATTCTTAAACTATATAATCCGTCCTACTTCACTCCAAATTTTGACGGAATGCACAAAACCTAACAGAATAGTTGCCAATTCTGCTAGTTATTATTATAATTTAATTTAATCAAATCTAATAGGGATATAAATGTAATTTCATGAAATCCAGAGCTTTTGAGACACTCCAAATCTTTAAAAATTATTCATCCACCTACTTTCTCTTTCTCCCTATCTCCCCCTTCATCCCAGCCACACACCGCCTAGGCCACCCACTAGCACCGTTTGCTACTAGAAGCTCTGATCCTGCCGTTGACTCGCAGCCTTCCATTTGTTAATTCTTGTAATATAATCACAAAAAAAAAATTAAATATGATAAACCAAATCAAAATCAACAAAATTTTACAACAGAAAAAAAAAGAAAGACGAAACAAGGATGAGATTGACTGACCCTATAGCATATCGTAAATTATCAGTGATAAATATCAAATACGTATCTTCAGAATTAGAATTTCTTCCTAACCTTCTCAACTGCAAAAGTTCCAACACTTTGCACAATAAACGTTCCAATTAAAATAAACTTTTGACGATCATTAGCAAGTATCCCCAGAATCCCAGAATCCAAAACCTCAACAAGATATTTCTCAAAAGCTTTGACAACCTTTCTCGTTAAACGTCCTTTAGGTTTAAAAAGTGCAACGCAATGAAAGTTCAGAGGGAGGTCAGGTGGCCTGGCTATGCTACCGAAGAAATCCATTAATATTTGTTTGATAGCATACGACGGGGTTTAGTTTAAAAGCCATGGAGATTAACAGGATAGGTGTTAGAGATATCCAAGTTTTGTGTCTGAATAAATGTCAAATCTTTGTACAATTTACAGAAAAGGAATTTCACGGTCTCAGATAAACATCAAACAAATATTAACGAAACCATTCCACATAAGATGTCTCTCGGATAACTCTATGAAAAGCCATTAGGGTTCGTTTGGTTTATGGATTGAATGAGATGGGATTACTTATCGGATTATTAATTTTGGATTGAGGTATCCTCAAATTCATAATTCATGTTATGTAGTGTTTGGTTGATCATAGGTTGGATATAAATGTTGAGAAACAATCTAACCCTATATTTGGTTAAACATTAGATGAGATGGAATTACTATTTTAATAACCAAAGTATTCCTTAATTTGTAGGACTATTTTAATAAAATAATTTATAAAATTATAAATTTAATTAAAATAAAGTAATTTGAAATTTTAGAATAGAGTAAATCAAGGATTTTTATATAAAAATTTACATTCATTCAAACTCAACCCATTCAGACCCTTAAAAATAGGTTTTAACCTAGTTTTTTAATCTAAATTTGAAATTCAATTAAATAATAGGTCGAGTTTTGGCTAAGTTAGGGTTAAATTGAATAAATTTCAACCCATTAAGAGTTTAAATGAGCCAAGTTCAAGCCTATGTAGAAGATTTTTCTTTGGACCAAGTTTAAGTTCATTGAAACACTAGTTTGCCAAGCCTAATTGATGAGGTTATGTATTTATATAGAATTTGGGTGAGAAAATAAGGTTTGTAAGGACAATTTAGTCCAAAGGGAATATAGTCCATTTATTATGATGTAAGTAGGGCAAATTAATAAAAAAATTTAAATTAATTGAAAATTTTGCCAAATTGGTCCCAAACGTTTGCAAAAAAAAAATTTAGTTCATAACATTTAAAATAAGCCAAAATAGTTCCTAGTATATAAATTCTATACTAGTTTGGTCCTAATGCTTGTCTTTACTCATTTTCGACTAAAATTGCACATTTTCTCACGTGGGCATAATTTCAAGGGTAAAATCGAAAAATACACTTCGTTCCCAATTGAGTTTTTCCTCTTTCCTTTATATTTCTTAAACTAAACCCTAATTGCCTCACATAAAAATCACAATCGAAGAAGAAAAACTCATCTACAACTGGATGACTGTGCAATGGAGGAAGAATAGGAAGAAAATGCGCAGAAGAAGCCAACCTATCGAAGAGTACAATGGATCCAAACAATGAGCAATGTCATTGTGGCAAGGAACCCATCATTGTGACTTCATGGAGACCAGTAAATTCGAGAAGGAGATTCTATAGCTACCCAAATTTGTTTGCCATCTGCCATGTTCCTACCAGGAATCAAGTAATTGTAGCCTACAGTATAATGTTCATATTCAAGTTTGTTTGCTATTTCATCTCGTTTACATAGAGGCCATCTTTTCGGATCACAACTGTGGCGACCCCACTTCCCCCTAAGGCGAACCAGAAGGTTGGCGGCCGTCTGCCCAACTCTCGCCAGGACTCACGCAAGAAATCTAACCCAAATCCTTCCGAAGTATAGCTTAAGCTATTTCAATAGTGGTCCTCCAAAATAGACCAATAATCAAGACCACATTAACTTCAGAGATAACAGCACTTCAAGATAGCGACTCGTCGATTCTTAAATACCTTACGCGTTACAAGCCACGGAATAAAGTCAAACAATCCCATTTAACAAATTCATACAAGCCAAATACATTCTTACAAGCCAAGTAACAAAACCAAGGTTTGCACTTTTCCAGCTTCAAGTGGCAACCCAAAACAAAACTACACTGTTTAATTCGAATTACATTCATAACAAGTAAAGCAGATTTCAGGTCTTTCTCACATGCCAGAACCTGTCAAGAAAAACAAAATAACGTGGGGTGAGTTAAAACTCAGTGGTGCTCCAAAACATACAATCACATAAAACAAATAGCGAGTATTGACTTCAATTAAAGTAAACAATTAGAAAAGCGCTTAACAGCACAAGATAAGATACAGGGGCTCTCAAGAGCCATGTCTCCACGAGCTTGATCAAAATTTTCCGTAGTCGACCCTCCGTCAACTTTTATTACCTAAGGTCTGTGTAGATCTTTTTATTTTTTTTTAACTCCGACCACCAATCATACCCCTGTACCGGGCCCGCACGCCAAGCACGAAAGTGGTAATACTCGAGTATACCTTAGACTGGTCGAGAGATTCACCCAACGACTTTACGTCCAACACTTATAGCAAGCGCAAGCAAAATATTCACGAAAAACACTTCAAACAAGGTACCACTCGAAAGGCTAGTGTGATAAAGTACACACTACTCTTTTCGATGGATCAGCAATCATTTTCCAATTATCGTATATCGAGTCACGAAAGCACTTTAACCAAATAAGCATAGAACAAGCAGGGACACTCACTAAAAGGTGAAGTTCACAGGTCGAGCTGGGAATCGAAATCCGCGTCCTCGATAAACCGTAGAAAACCAAGTTTTTAAAACTATAAGTTTTACTATACAAGTTCTTGGTTTATATATATATAAGAGATTATCTAGTATATAACTAGTTGTATTTTCTCGAGTAATCTCTTCCGTTTATGTTCAAATTTTTCATGCATGTCCAGACCAAACCAATATAATCGAAAATCGCAATTCAAACATCAGTTTCGCTAAGGCTTCATCAATCATTAGCCCTAGGTCTCAACAAGTTCAATTCTAATCAATATTAAGCAAAGGTAGTCCAAAACGTCAAACAAATCCAACCAAAATTTTACTCTT